AAAACCCAACACAAGAAATGAAATTCAGATAAATACTTTTTATTAGGGCCAGCCCTTGTTGCCACTTGGTTTACTTCTGAAGGTGTGGGAAACCAGAGCAAAACATCTGAAGAAAAGCTAAGGGAATGAATGGATATGATTGACAAATGTGAAGCCCCATTGTTGAGGCTTGCCGAATGCGCTGTAGGGAAGATGGCCTTGAAAGCTCTTTGGAAACTACGGTGAATGCAGGCTGCTACATGTCGCATGGCTGATGGGGTGGACCGTCAAGAGCTTTTTGTGTTTTGGGGACTGCAATGGCCACTTGCTTGTCTTTCAGACACAGTTCAAGGTGATAACCTTTGAGCTTCCAGATTTAAGCAGTCTGAACCCTAGGTTCTTTAAAGGTAGTCAGTCACCTGTACACTGTTCATCGCATCAGTGTTTGACTGAAGTCCCACAAGTATTCTGAGGGCTTATACTCAAAATTAGAAGGTATATGCGGAGCTTGCATCTGAGAGAGAAGAGATTGGATTTATTCCCCGCCCTTCACTTGGAGTCTCAGAGCGGCTTACAAACTCCTTTCCCTTCCCCTCCCCACAACAGACACCCTGTGAGGTGGGTGGGGCTGAGAGAACTCTGACACAAACTGCTCTTTTTCAAGGACAGCTGTGCCAGAGCTTGTGACTGACCCAAGGTCACATCAGCAGGTGCAAGTGGAGGAGTGGGGAATCAAACCCGGTTCTCCCAGATTAGAGTCCGCACACTTAACCACTACACCAAACTGGTTTAGTTGAAATTTATTCCATCTTCTATAGTAAACCCCCCTAAACTTCAGTTGCTGTGTTGTTCTTCTCCCTGAGCCTTCTTGATAAGGCAAACATTAAAACAGAAAAATGCGTAATGCCTGGTCCACACAGTTCATCAATAGACTCCAGTTGTCTTAGAATACCTTCCTTTGTTTTGAGGAGTGGGTGTGGGAATCAGCCTCCTGGGCTTCAAAATGAAAATTACGTGTGACCATCCAGGTAAGGATATTGCATCAAGGTAAATCTGGAGCTTAAAAGTAGACCAGGTTTTGTGACTGAGGTCCTGTGGAAGTTCAGAATTGGTAATTATGCAAGTTGGAACACCAAGAGGGTTTGTTCCTGGACAGTTATCTTTTTCAAGGCATTGCTTCCTACTAAGGGCCAAGTTGGATGCTCCTCATTAAGAGTAGCTGTGTCTTGTTTTGCACCTCCTACCCTCTTACTTCTCAGCAAACCAGTGCAGTGAAGTGATTGCACGGAATCGAAGCTGCATGCAAAGGGGAGACTTTAGATACCTTTCGTTTGAGCAGTCTTTTCTTTCAGCTGAGGTGATGTCTGACAGACCACGGTCTGTAAAAACGTAGCCTCTTTTGGAGATCGATACCTGCTCAAAAGCTCTTTGCTCTTCTTTTTTTTACAGATCCACCAGGGGACAGTCCCGGTATCGTACACCGTGACCACAGTGGCACCACATGGTATTCCACTTTGCACAGGCCAGCACATACCAGCTTGCAACACGCAGCAAGTCCCAGGGTGTTCTGTGGTTTTCAGTGGACAGCATCTCCCTGTGTGCAGCGTGCCTCCCCCAGTGAGTAGTTCCTTTATTTTAAGTCTGATGACAGATCATGAAAATGGCTTGGGAAACTGCGTGAGGCCGCGATGTCAGAGGGGAATGTATCGGAGCCCTAATTTCTGTACAGATGGAATTAGAAGCTTGGTCCCACAGAGTTCAGTGGAAGTAAGTGCAAACGCCATCATGACGGTAGCAATTGAGAGAGTCGTGGAATAAGATTTCCTAACAGTAGTTGATCACTGTTGGAAGAAATCCCTTCTCCTGCAGGCTCCGTAACTCATAGTTAAGGTGTACAAATTGAATGTACCAAGCTGAGGATGAACTACCTTAAGCGATAAACTCAGACAAGCCTGCTGCTCTGACAATGTCATCCTATATGCTGTTCTTCAAAATAAAATGTCGTTCTGCAACCTGTATAAGCCCACGTTCCTCCGGTTTTGCATGACTTATTTTTCTTCTACGAATCACGGCGAAGGAGCATTGTCTTCTGTGGAGAACAGCCCTTGTTCTGTAAATAAATCATGCTTTATTTTATTCTGATGCCCTTTATGAACGTGTTGTGAAGCACAAGTGTGAATGTTTCTCTTCTTTTGCAGATGCTTCAGGCATGTTCTGTTCAACACCTACCAGTTCCATATGCGGCATTCCCACCCCTTATTTCTAGCGATCCGTTCCTTTTGCATCCTCCACACCTCTCCCCGCATCATGCTCCACACCTGCCACCTCCAGGCCAATTTGTTCCCTTCCAAACACAACAGTCGCGGTCGGTAGGTAGCTTAATTTTTTTCAAAAGAACTAATTCTTTTGCTCTTGTTCTGGTAGTTGATTCTGGAACACTGGATTTAAGATGCCATATGCTGGTTTTCTGGAAGAGGAACTAAAGCCTATGTACCCAAAAGTCTTTTGTGGGCTTTTGGCAGCGTGAGCTGAATTTTCAGCATAAGTGTCTGCACAGTCTGATCTCAGAATCTGAAAACTTTAACCACTTTAATTCACAGTCCTGGTAGAAAAAAAAAAACCAGTCCCTTGCAATGCTCCCTCTAAGCTGTGGAGTCTCGTGAGCAAGAATTCTACTTGGTGAGCCACTGGCATTAAAGTCATGAGCGAGCGATTTGGCTGCTGCATAAATCAGTTTGCTCTGGAGCCCTCCTTCCTGAGCGGAGACAAAACTGTGTGAGCCGGAGGCTAAAAAACTGTGAGCTAGCTCACACTAACTCAACTTAGAGGGAACACTGGTCCCTGGGTACGTAATCCTGCAGTGGTTTTGTGGAGCTGGTACTGCAGGGTGTGGGGATGTTGGAGGGTTTTTTGGGTTTTTTTTTTGAAGTTGGCGAATCCATCTGGCCAAGACCGTGGGCTCTGATCCACAGGGTAAGAGCCAAAGGCCAAGAGCCCATAGACTCACACCCCTGGCCACACCCAGGCTATAAATACCTGCAGCAATAAGTTTAGGTGGGTGTAACACTGCTGCACTTGTGAATAGGGACTTGAGTGCTTCTGAAAGGCATTTGAGGATGCTGTGTAAACAGGATCCTGATTTGATTAGTAGATGGGCTCTGAAGGCAACGTCACTGCACATACTGCTATTCATATTATTTAGATTAAGCAGGTCGTAGATTAGCAGGTGCCTGGCAGGTGCCTGGCAGCCCTGTATAAGTAGCTGTCGGCTTCCTGACGGCAAGGGTATGTGGACTGAATGCACGATGGTACTCACAGGTTGCTCTCTAAGGCAGCCTGTGCTTTATTGATAGAGAATATGAATGCTGATGTTGTAAACAGGGCTTTCTAGACTCATTTGTTTCTCCCTGGGGCAGGTTCTGAACACAAATGGGGGGAAGGAGTGAGAGGGATGGTCATGCAACTGTAGGCATCAGAATATAATGTAAAAGCAGCTGTGCTGAATCAGGGGAATGGTCCATCTAGTCCAGCATCCTGTTTCATTCTGTGGCCAAATAGATATCCCTGGAAGGCCTGTGAGCATGGGATGAAGGCCAAAGCATCCCCTGATTGCCTCCCCCACACCTGCAGTGGTATTCAGAGGATTACTGTCTCGGAACATGGAGGCTCCATTAAGCAGCATGGCTAATAGCCATTGATGGGCATATCCTTGTTGGATTTGATTCCTCTTTTGAGCAGCTACACCACTTCCTGTGGCATTGAATTCCACAAGTGAAGTATTCTTTGAATGACAACCGTTCTTGTTGTGCAGAGAGAGTACACAATAAGTTTTGAGTTCTCTGTTTCTAAATTTGGAAGTGGAGCCTGGTGGGCAAGTGTGCTCATTCATCCTGAAAAACTCATGCTACAAGTAAGAGGATTCCATTACTTAATGCAGGGCTCAACAGAGTCAAGGCACCAGGTCACAATGGCACCTAGATATTTCGTTGCGGCCCTTAGTATTTTCTGCAATGATTTTATTATAATGTTTCTTGGCAATCCCCAGTGGAAGAATGGAGTTTATTTATCATTTCACCTCAGAATTTTTGTTGTATGACATACAAATGCACATGCAAGAAGTTCTTGTTGCTTGTTTGTATGGACACGTAAGTTCAGTGGTGGTGGGTAAATTCATTTTTTAGCCAGTTGCTTTCTGCTCTAGCTCCATCCAGTATTCAGTTAAATGCCGTTTTGTATAACCCCCTAATAGCTTTGAGAAATAGGGGAGAAGTTAGGCTAGGGTTAGAAGTTAGCTTAGGGCTTTTTGTTGTGGTGATGACAACCAAGATTACCCCATGTTTATTTATGTACTCTAATAGGCTTGCCAGAGCTTTGATAGAAATTTTAAGAAACTGCGAAGAAGTTAGGATTAGGTTTTGTGGTAGCAATAATAAGACAATATAGTCATTAAAATATAAAACCCTGTGGAGGCTGTAAACTGAGTCTGGCTCCTGAATTTTTTGGCTGGCTCCTAGAGCCAAAGAAAATTTGTCAAGACCTGGCCAAGTGAACTGAGATGGGAGTGGGGGTGTGGTTGTCATCGTGAATGGATTAATATAGATACTGGATGTGGGAAATATGTGCCGTATGTTGCGGGGGAGGGGGGAGCTGTAAATAATGAGAGCACAATATTTACACTGAAATATCTGATTTACATTTTGATAAACTGTATGTGTATTCACTATCCACATAGGGTTCTCAAAGCACAGGAAATGTTTAATTTTAAATGTGATGGTGTATTCTTCACACATTCCTCCCCTCCACTTGTTACCCACAAGACAGTTTGACCTACTTAACAAATTCAAGAAATAATTCTTCCCAGAAAATAACAGCAACTATTTAGACTTCCCAGATGTTAAACTCAGACTATTTTCTGTCTCCTCTTCTTTAGCCTCTTCAAAGGATAGAAAATGAAGTGGAGTTGCTTGGAGACCATCTACCTGTAGGGGGCTTCACCTATCCACCTTCTGCCCATCCACCAACATTGCCTCCATCGGCCCCTCTGCAGTTCTTAGCGCACGACCCTCTACACCAAGAGGTGTCCTTTGGAGTAGTAAGTGATGGCTTCAGCATTTTGCTATTATTATTCACTCTGCATTTTTGTTTGCTTGCTTGATGAACTCTGCTTCTGCCGTGTATTCCACACCAGCTTCTAAAGCAGTGATCTTTGGCCTTTCCAGATCTGGGACTCACCTTTAACCCCAAGATGGCAGCATGGGATACACTGAGCCGAACTCATATGACAGGAAGTCACATGACAGGGAAAGGGGGAAGCAGAGTTATGGCTTCACTAGTGTCGAGGCTAGGATCGTGGGCAGCAGAGCAAGAGATACAAGGACAGGAAACCTAACCCGACACTATGGGGTGTACTGTGTGCGTGTGTATAAATTTATGATGATTTATGATGACCCTGTAGGATTTTCAAGGCAAGAGGCAAACAGAGGTGGTTTTCCATTGCCTTCCTCTGCATAGTGACCCTGGAATTCCTCGGAGGTCTCCCATCCAAATTGCTGACCCTGCTTACTGTAGTTAAGAATGAGCCCCAGGTCAGAACCAGGGAGACTCTTACGTCATTGACCGGGCTTTGCTGTCCTGCTGCTGCTTTCAGGCAGGGGTCGTAGCACCCTTGGGCTCGCTCAGAACCTTCCAAAATGGAGCAAGAACACAGCAGCTCTGTACTCACGAATATTACTTATTTGAGTCAGACCATTGGTCCATTAAAGTCAGTATTGCCTCCTCCGACTGGCAACAGCTCTCCAAGGTCTCAGGTAGAGGTCCTTCACATGATCCTTTTAGTTGGCGGTGCCAGGGTTTGAACCTGGAATGGCTGCAGTGCCAAGCAGGTGCTCTACTGGTGAACCAGTGCCCCACCCCCTGTACAGGCTTGTGACCCACCTAAGGGTCCCGACCCCTCCTATGAAGGCCACTGCTCTTGAATCAGATCAGATATTTCCGATATCGTTTGAACGGAGTACATAAAAATGTGCAGTTACCAGAAGTGGGAAATGAGCCCAGGCAAGCCCAATCTTGTCAGATCTTGGAAGCGAAGCAGGGCCGACCCTGGCAAGTACTTGGAAGGGAGAGCTCCAAGGAATACCAGGGCCAGGACGCAGAGGCAGGCAATAGCAAGCCACCTCTCTGAAACATCCGAGCCCCACTAGGGGTCGCCAGAAGTCTACTGTAACTTCCAGGTATACACACACACACACACACACACACACACACACACGCACAAAATACTCACCAAAGAAAAAGGAGGAAAAGAAATGGAAAACGACTTGGGAATTAAGACCAATTATTTCCAGCAGATGTTCATTTGAATGTCAAGTATTTGAATAGCTGAGTTAGGGGAAATGCACCACAATAAGCTAATATGAAATGTAACCGAAAGTGTTTTCTCCCTACAGGGCCAGGACTGGCTTCATTTTACAGTTTATTAGACAATAGCATATTCTTTTCCTCTCTCCAGCCTTACCCACCGTTTATGCCTCGAAGACTTACGGGACGCAACCGATATCGATCCCAACAGCCCATACCGCCGCCTCCTTACCATCCCAGCCTGTTGCCATATGTGCTGTAAGTCAGTCTTGTCTTCAGGACCTACCTTCTGCCATGTACTTTGCAATGAATGGTGCTGTTCTACTGGAAACCCTGACATTGTCCCAGAGGCTCGCATGCAGCCTCAATAATGAGGGCTTAAGGGGAGGGGGAGGTGGTGTCGCCCCTAAAAATGTGCACGGAGGCTACTTTGGGTTCCCGTCTGTGATAACGGGATGCAAAGAAGAAACACGGGGGCACTCTGGGGTTTTCTCGGCCGCAGTGTTTGAGAGGCACCCAGGAGATGTCTTCTGCTCTTAACGCTGCTGCTGTGGATGGCAGCGAGACTTGCTCAGGAGGCTAGTCCAGCTTAGGAATGGCAAAGAGTGGCTCATTGAAAATTGTGAGTGCCTGCCCGTCTGCTTTGTAGAGAGGATTGAAAATTGAAAACCACAATCTACAAAAAGATTGCAGATTTTGAGACACTGAATACTACAAATGTCCCCATTTTATGTTTGTTCTGCTGAAGAAGATGTGACCCGAAACAAAGTGTACACCCGGGATCTTCGGACCTTCCAATGACCTTCCAATGATGATACTATTGTATGACTTACATTGCTGTTAACATTATTAAGTACACGCTTGTTATATTGTTTTTCATGATCAGATTGTTCTTGATGGTTATATTGTAATTCATTATTGATCTTGCACATTGTTTAGCATCTGATTCCACAGCTTTTTTTGCCATTTACTTAAAATACAGTTTGGCAGTTCTTTATAAACCTTTGGCTAAGCCCCCATTACCAGGAGCATCAGTGTTTCTGAGTCTCTCCCCAGCTCCTTTCAAGCAGATGTGCACTGGGACTTCCTGGTGAGATCTAGATTCTCAGACATGGCCAGTTCAGATCAGGAGTGCAAAAAAAAAAAAAAAAGAGGGTCACAACAATAACCAGAGCAAAAAAAGCTAAATAAAATAAAAAGGTGCAGCAAGGAAAAATAATCCACGTTGGCAGCACCTTATGCAACACCTAATTTCCATCTGGGGATTCCCAGCGTACATCTGCTTTACAGGATCCCAGGTTACCTACGAAAACTGTATTTCCCACTGTCTCCCTGAGAGTTTAAACAAAGACATTCTGACAGGAAAGTTGAGTGTCGCTGTCACTTGTATTAATTTATCACACCGCATCGCTACAGCTTTTCTTAGTGCAATAAAAATCTATATAGTCCGTTCCGATACAATGAAAAGATTGCGTATGCCTTTGCATCAGTTCCTGTGCTTGTGTATTCAAAATCAACACACTGTACTGATAAGATATTCTTAGTTTTGCAATACAAAACCAAAATTAAAACTTTTATTTGGGGCATTCTTCTTCAAGTTCTGCTTTATTAGCCAAACCAGATTGCAGCAATCTGTTTTGTAAGGGAGGGAGGAAGAGGAGGCCAACAAATATTTCTTTAGCCTGTCAGAGCCCTTTTCTTTCTTCCCCATCCTGTTACTACTTATCTTTGACACTTAACAATAGTCTGTTGTATAAACATATGTAAAACACACAGAGTTATGGATTCAGTCCACAGTCATCCACGGATTTTCCGTCAGCCGGGCACCTGGTGGGAAGTTTCCCCAGGAGCTGGCATCCTCCCCCCCCCCCAAATCTCACTTCTCCTGTGTATGCCTTGGAGATGACAAGAAACAGGATGAAAGCTCCCTGCAGTGTCTTGCCACCTTCGTACCCCAGAGCTTCCCCTCTTCCTCTGTGACAAGAGGGCTTGAAAGGGAAGCGGGATCTTGCCTCATTGGCACTGGTTCGGAGAAGGAGAGGGGACAGGCACCACTCCTGCTGTCAGTTTTTTTTTATCAGGTGGGAGGAATCCCTGCTTCTCCCCAAGCCCTCTGGCCTATGCCAAAGTACAAATGGTGATCACAAACAGATGTTGGCTAGGAAGCCATGTCAGTGTGTGTATAGAGCCATATCCGTCTCTCTGATCCAGTGCTGCCTATTTCAGTTGACAGTAATTAGACCAGGGGTGTGTGTGCATATTAACTTAAAAGGCGTGTGTGCGTATTAACTTAAAAGGCAAACAAACCTCTCCCTTGATTTCTTGGCCCTAAAGTTTCCATTCTAAAGCTATCCTTTTCTTCGACGACAATGATTTGTGCTAGTATTAAATCTTTGACGTTCTCTTTTCTGCAGATCAATGCTTCCAGTGCCACCTGCAGTTGGACCTGCCTTCAGTTTCGAGTTGGATGTAGAAGATGGGGAGGTGGAAAACTACGAGGTCAGTTAATATTCTGCATGCATTTGAGACATCTAGCTCATGTGGTGTCAGTTACATTTATTTTGTTTTAGTTCGTTTGGAACCAGAGCCAGTAGATGGAAATTGGGGTGTGAGTAAGGGGTGGGTGGGATTTAAAGTAGCAAAATTTATTTTTCTTGGGCTAATAACTACACAACAGCCTCCGCTGTTTTTCTTCTTGTGGAAAAGCAGGGTCATGCCGATAACTGATATTCTGCTTGGAGTCTCAGCGAGAAAGGCAGAGTAATAATAATATAAATAAAATATTGAGTTCTAGGGTTTTTTTCCTTAGCAGAATTTTATGCATTATGCCTGGCTAAAAGTATTTCCAGGCAATCCAAATCTTGCACCTAAGAAGAATAGTCAAGCTGTGCCCTGTGTCTAGGAGTAAGCAGGGTGGCTGCTTCCTGCCCAAAGGTCCCACTTCCTGGTCCAAGGCCCTCACAAGGTGCCTCCCCGTGGGGTCCCGAGTGTCACGGCCAACTGGCAGGAATTCAGGCTGCCAGCACTGGGTCCACCCATGCTGCTCAGCTGGCTGGAGGAGGCTTGGCTGGCGGATGCAGATGTGTCTCCCATGCTCTCACAGCCCAGCTGATGCTCGACCGAGAGGCTCGGATGTGCCAGCTCTTCCATAGTGGCCCAGTGGGTCAACGAGGCCACGCCCTGATGGGGCAACAGAGGCCTGACCTGGACAAATAGTAAAACATTGGTGGGGGAGGCTAACGGCCTGGGAGGGGCCTCGGAGGCAGAGCCCTAGCTGGGAGGGGGCAGGGATAACCTCAGAGGGCCTCTTGGCCCAGTCAGAAGGGCGGGCATGCGAGGGCTGCAAAGGCCTGTTTAAACCCTTGAAAGGCCCATGCTGGGGAAGAGGTAGTGGAAGCTGCTCCTGTCCCCGAAAATGCTGGTGAGAGACCTACAGGGAGCACTTCGGCAGGAGGAAGAGCACCAGGGTGCGTGGGATCTCTGCCCTCCCCCTCTCAGGCCTTACGGGATCTGGAGGCCGAGGTGAGAGGCCAGGAGGAAGCTCCAGCCCCTGGACCGAGCTCCTCTCTTCTCCATTCCGATGCCCCTTCTGGTTCCGCCCAGCCACATCTCTGCAGCCACCCTTCCCTCCAGTAGGCCAGCACCACCCGGCCCACTCACACTCTACATAAATACACACACTTTTTACAATGCATTATTTTGATAAAGTATTCTCTGGTCAGTACAGGGGATGATGTGGGTGTGAAAGGCAAGCCGCTCAAAGTCAACCAGACTGGGGTCTTCTAATTCAGATGGTGACTTACATTCACAGGCACTGCTGAACTTGGCAGAAAGACTGGGAGAGGCCAAACCAAGAGGACTGACAAAAGCAGATATCGAGCAACTTCCGTCTTACAGGTTCAACCCAAACAACCACCAGTCAGAACAGACTCTGTAAGTACGACTTTGCCCATACTGAAGCCTTTCTGTGAAATCTCATGACTGCCCTGTTAAACACAGCTGTTTAATCCCTTTTTTGCGTTTCCCCACCATAAACTATCCCTATTCAGAAGTCTTGCAAAGCATCAAATACACAATTAAAACAGTCCTGTAATTCTTCATGAGGGATGTGAGGATTTTCTACACACAGTAGAAAGCCGTGAGTTAGGCGTCTCTTCTCTGGCTTGGTCCCACTCATGCGAGGTTAGTGGATGTGATCAATAAGCGCCACATGTTTTTATCACCTGGTGAATGATGATGGGGGAGTTGAACCTTGTCACGCTGGAGGGAACCTGAGCCTGCTTTGATGTGGCAAAGACCGGTTCTTGTCACTCCACTGTTGTTTGGACTTGCCGCCGCCACATGGAACTCATTATGGGAAATCATCTTTTTGTTGACTCTTTACCACTTCAAAAGTAATATGAGAATCAAGCTTTGGCCTGGTCAGGGCACTTTCTCTTTTCTCAAGAGCTGCAGACTGCTCTCCCCCTCCCACCCCTTTCCAGTCTGGAGCCAGAAACTACCTTCCGCCAAAGCAAGAGTCAGAGGTTCTGTCATTTCCTTTTCTCTGCAAAACACAGTGTTTTTAATTTCTGTAATGTATTACGGAGCAACCTCAAGCGGTTCTTTACTCCTTGGGAAAGTAAGCAAGAAAAACCTGCTTTGCAGGTAGAACTGGCATCATGTTGAAGCTAAGGAAGTTCCAAGTTCAAATTTCACTTCAGCTGTGAACTCACGAAGTGACTTGAAGCAAGTCAGTGTCTCACTTTTCAGCATTACATCATCCCACTGCCCCCATTTCTGCAGTGTGGTACAATATTCTCACCTGTTTTACAGGGCTACCGAAAAACAGTGTGTGTAGATTAGGTGCTTTGAACACTCACAGTGCAACATAACTAGTAAACGGCATTACTAGACACATTTCTTTGGTTTTGAATTCAGGTGTTTGTTCTGTGTAATTTCTGCACTGTAGTCAGTGTAATGGCTTGGATCCAGACTAGCACTTGTATGGGCAGATCTGCCCCTGGAACAGTTGCCCCTGCCCCCGCCCCCGGTGTGGCAGCTCAAAATGCCCTCTGAAATGTTATTCCTGGTGGACATGGGACTCCCAGGAACAATATTTGGGGCGGGTGGGTGGTTGAAGCATTAGCCTGTGTCCAAGCTAACAGCCAGTCTACAACTGCCGTTGGTGTTTAAACCTAACTGAAATGTACTTTTCTTTTTTAATTAAAATGTAGTAAATACTATGGCCTTTTCTTATATATACCTTGTAAAAACAAACTGTTGTTGCTCTCTTCTAGGTGTGTAGTGTGCATGTGTGATTTTGAATCCAGGCAGCTACTTAGAGTTTTGCCGTGCAACCACGAATTCCATGCCAAGTGTGTCGATAAATGGCTTAAGGTAACAGTCATGGGGTTTTTTTAAAGGAAAACAAGCAAACAAACGTCAGTAGTCTGTTTTTTTGTATTACATACCGTCTTGTTACTATGCTTAGGCAGCAAAGCACTCCTCACTTTGCAGCAGTGTTCCTTGGCATAGTAGCAATTTTAATTTAGGGGGGGGGGGCTGCTGCTGTCAGCATGGAACTTGTGAATTGTTGACCACACTGCTTATAGAATCATATTACGGAGCTCCAGTTCTGGCTTTAGACAGCTCCAGATTTTAAAAAAAATCCTTCCCCATGGTGTTTTTTTTTATTATTATTCATTCAGTAACTCTTGCAAAATAACTTTGGCTTATCTTCCGGTTAAGGGGGACCCAGAACAAAGTATGGTATCACGATACCAGGCCAACAACGCACACAAAATGCACAGTATGGAAATATAATCAAAGTAGGAAATTTTCAGACATGTTTTTGTATGACATGACAGGTTTCTGTAGCCAGAGGCTAATTTTAGAGTCCACACTGGGAGGTGCCACTTCTTTGCAGCATCACTTTTCCTTAGTTTGCTCCTTCTCCTTCAGTGGGGGGAAGTCATCCAGAAACTGGTTAGGTCTCGCCTCTGCTCGCTCGATAGGCTATGCAAATTTCTTTTGCTGCATGGCTCCTATAAAATTAAATTATCTCAACCAGAAGAACAGGCTGGTGCCAAATCAAATTGGTGTTTCTCATGAGATGGAAAGTTAACATCTGTGTTCATCATTGGAGCAGTGGGGTCAGTTGCAGAAATCAGGTAATGCCTAGGCATAAAATGAGGAGTAAAAAGTCATCCAGGTATCTTAGTGCACAGTCCCCCTGCCGAATTGCTGGTCTGTGGCCTCCAGTGTCAAGCCAGAATAGAATATAAACTGATTAGATGATTGCACTGACCACAGTAGTTTCTTTAAACAGTGGTTTCAAATGAGGTCTGAATCGAGCCTGAACTTGTTCTTCCTAGGTTTCTGTGGAAAGTAATATTTTTATGCCTAAAACCTGCCAGTGGAGACTATTTCAGTCAATACCCACTGAATGACTTATTACCCTGTGTGTCTTGGTAGCCTTTTACAGCGTTAAAACTGATTCCTTGCTAAGGGCTGTCAGGGCAACTATAGCTGTGTATAAACTAGCATCAGACTGGGTTTTTTTGGCAGGATGTTATAGCTGTCTTTCTCTGCTGCTTATGTCATCCTGCCTTTAGTCTTTTTTGGGGGAGGGAAGTCCTGTGACTTGCCATTCTGACAGATGTTTAGGTTAGTCAGGTGTGATAAAATCATCAAGGGCTTTAATCCAGTAATTTCAAGTCATATTCAAGTGACCTTTCGGCTAAAGTTCTGTGCATTTTTTAAAAACTTTATCTTGTTGTCATGAGCTTGTCAGTTCAATAAAACCTGTTTTTTACATTTCCAGGCAAATCGTACCTGCCCCATCTGCAGAGCTGATGCTTCAGAAGTACATCGTGATTCAGAATGACCAGTCTAAGAGCACAATTCTACTTTGGGTGTTCCTAGTCACATGTGTATATATATATCTATATGAACTCTCCATTGAACTTAACCCGTGGCTTCCAGCCTTCCCTTTTACACAAAAAAAAGGGTCAATGGACCTTTCTTTGCACTGTGTGATTTAATCAACTATAAAGCTTATAATTAGTCTTCACAATTATGGGATTGTTATACTAACTGTGTGATTGGAACTCCAAAGAATTTTTTTTTTCTCTTCTAGCTTAATTTCGTGTGTGCACTAACATTCCCTGGTTTTCGTGTGATCATTCCGAGTGTTGCTGCGAGATTACCGTGGAACGTGATCTTCTAGCATGTGCTTTTATATTAAAAAAAAAAACGGAGGGGAAAAACAAGGAAAAAAATGTGGTAGCTCCAAACAATATAGCAATCTACCTTATATAGAGCCTTCAGATACTGTGAGTGGGAGTAAATGGTGCGGGTGGGTGCGTTGATCGCAGGGTGTCTGTGTGTATGCGGGCGCGCGCGCAAAGTGCTTGAGCGGAAGTGTGTGAGAGAGAGGACTTATATACCAGCATGTACTGAGGATGTATGTGTGTAGTATTAATTATGCTGCAATGTATAATCTTTGTGTGTTATTTAAACAGTACTAGTACTGTACACTGGTTTCTTTCCTTGCGTTTTGCAGTTGCGCACTGAATGCTAAAGGGTGCAGCAATTTATAGGCGTTTAATATTTCATCTCTTCCCCCCCTCCCCCCCAGCAGAATGTACTTAATAATAGTATAAAAAGGCCTCTGCTTTTATTTTCAGACACTTGTTATGCTTCCCGTCGATTGGAGATCTTGCCTCATTTACAGAGTCCATTGATTCCTCAGTTCTTACTATAAACATTTAGTTAGCCTTGTTTCTAGGCCGCTGGAATTTCCAAGTGTCAACATCTTGCAAGCTCACTGTTAACTTTATAAGGGTTGCAGCATTGCACAATCAAGAAGCAATATTACTTATCAGCTCATTATTGAAAGGATGCTAGTCTTCTCTTATTTTAAAAGAAAAAATCCTTCCAGCCAGTATTGGTTCTTTTCAGTTGATGTTTGAAACTGGATTTTTATTTGAGTTGCTCCAGTGCAGCATCCCCCCCCCCCCCCCCCCCACCCCCCCCAACAGAGGATCTAGAAAAGTCTTGTGCAAATGCTCCTTGTATTGTTCTCCATGTACCTGCTAAATACATAGTTTAGCTTATGGCACTAAAAGTCACATTCCTTGTCATATGCAAGAAACCTTACCTACAGTTAAAGTAACTTAAAGGTTATCAATCTTAAAAGTGTACAACCTCATGAACAAAACCATTCTTAGCACTTTGTTAGAGGTAGAATGTGTGGGTTCCCCCCCCCTCCCCCGGTGGTAACCATGTTAATACTTTGCTCTTTACTGCCTGGTGAAAATGCTGTAGGAAACAGTTTCTTTCTTGCCCAGCTTGGTAGAGGGAATTTGTTTGATTATCTTTTCTTTGAGACATTCTCTGTGTCATATGGCTAGAATGAAGAATATTCATGTTCAGGAATAGGCTGGTATACAAAATCAAGGGGGAAAAATAATAAATAGATGCTGTGAACTTGGAGTTGATCTCCTTTCAGCTGCCTTCTCAATAATGTTTATTGGGGAAACAAAAAAAAATCAGCATCATTTTACCATTTCAGACTGTTAGTGCTTCTAGCGGCTTTTTTAAATACATAAATATCTACACATGACTAAAACAGTGATCCAAGAGGTGCACGTTTAATTTTTGGGATCCTCTTGTTCTTCTCCCGTGTTCATGCACCACAACTTTTGGTTGCAACAGCACAAGCAACGCAGCCGGCAATCTTTGCTTACGCTGCCAGTTCTGTGTCCTTTCCCGATGCTTTTGTGTATGCTGCTATTTGTTAGGTCTGTCTGTTCCTCCAGAACAGTGTTCGGTGGTTCTCTGTGCTGAATCACCCTTCTTTCGGAAGGCTCTGCTGATCAGTCACAGCTTTGTGGTTCTGCAGAAATGTTTTAAAAGCACAATTCTTTTCCTCCCTCGTTTCAGATACCGTTTGCCTCTGTTTAGTAGCCTGGGACACCTCACTTCTGTCCGTAGCGTTTAACGTACTTCAGAATGCTAACCAAGCAAATGAAACCATTTTAAAACATACTGTGTATGACAGATTTACAAATGTTACCATTTCCCCTCAGTGCGTTCCAAGGAATTGTCTCGACATGTCAAAAGCAGGTTAAATTGCACATAGGAAACTTTATTTTTTTAAGCAGACAAAATCATGGGTTTGGGATGTGGGGGGAGAAAGGGTATGCCACACATGTTTTACAATACTTTGGGTCTTTTTATATTGCTTGGGGGGAGGCGGGAGATTTTTACCTGTACAAATCTTAATTCTAACGCTTACCCACTCAGTGTCTCCTTTGTTAAAGCATGGAAATAAGGCACTTTCTCTAACAAATTGACAAGGCACATAATACCCTGTTCTGAGCAGAAGGTTCTTAGCCCCGAACTGGGACCCCGTCTGTCTTGCAGTGTAACATCTGCCCCTACATTCCCAGTGTCAGTTAAGCAGAGGCAGTTGGTGGTGAAAGGGCAGCGGTAGGAGTTAATTTGGTAATCTACTGAACCTGATTGTTGCACTCCTGTGGCTGATCTCTTCTTTGACCGGCTCTTGTTTGCTTGGGACTTTTGCCAATGTGTGCAAGAACTTCTTCCTGTGGTTTTAAGTGTGTTTTATAAGATGCACACACACACACACACACACTCGTGTGTTCTGAACCAGCTCAGGTTGGCTGTGATGGAATTCTGAAATTTTTGCTGCTGGCTGAAGAGGGAAAGGGGATTCATGCTCAGCTGTTAACTGCCATGTGTTATATGCACATCTGTGTGTCTAATTCTACAGCCCCCAGTGGTGCCTGACAGCACCAGGTTGTGTTGGGTTGCCTATCCCCATCATCCCCCACCCCACCCCGCCTCCCCTGCTAAAGGAAGAAAAAAGAAGTTGGCGTTATCATGTTGGCACTGCTGAGGGGTTGTGTTTTTTTGGCACGAGTTGTCAATTTAACTTTTCCCCTGGCTTTTTAGAATAAATGGGTATACAGGCCTTGTGGATATTTCTAAGGTCTCACTTTGTGGCTTTCTTTACAGATTATTATTTTGTGCAAAGTAATTTTCTTTTGTATAGGGTTTTTTTGTACAGTCTCCAGAATGTGATTTTTTTGTGTGTCGCAGCTGTTAACCTTTACACCTCGTGTAATATTTGGGGTTTACCAACTTTTTAAAATTTGCTTTCCAAGAACACGTTACCAACTCTGTTAGGCCTTTCAAAGAGAGCTGTGGGTTCTCTCTCCTTCTCTGCTCCTCTAGCCCCATCCTTGGTACCTTCAGTTACCTCATTTTGCTATTTTGTGTTGCAGATTTGCTAATGATTATGAAAGTTTATGGGTTTTGTTAGAATCATATTTGTCAAGTGTTTTCTTTTAAAATCATACCCCATTGTATCATTTAACATGTAGTTTTAAATGTATTATAAATATCTGTAACCAAATCATTTGAAGGCTTGATAAATTTTTAACAAAATTTGTACATTTTTTATGAGAGTTACTAGTAATGCTTTACTAAGTAGTGCAATGAATTTTTATTTTTAATCCCTGTGCCCAATTTTGGAGTTGAGAGGGTTGTTCAGTAATAAATGTATGATGTACACTTATACAACTTTGTTTCTTCTCACATCTTGCGCACACCTTCACTTGTATTAATGAAAACAGTTTTTTTATTTTATTTTAATGAATGCAAAAAAAACCCCAGCCTTCATAAGCAGAGTCCAGTGGTCTATCTAGTTCAGTGCCCCCTCTAAGCTGAGTTAGTGTGAGCTAGCTCACAGTTTTTTAGCCTCCGGCTCACACATTTTTGTCTTAGCTCAGGAAGGATGGCTCCAGAGATAACTAATTTATGTGGCAGCCAAATCACTCGCTCACAACTTTAATGCCAGTAGCTCACGAAGCAGAATTTTTGCTCACAAGACTTCACAGTTTAGAGGGAACATTGATAGTCCAGCATCCTGTCTGAAACTGAGGCCCTCCCCACCGTTGTCTTCTAGCACCGGGATTCAGAGGGACTACTGCCTCTGCATGTGAACGTTCCCTTTATATAGCCAGTAGCCACTGTAGGTAGTAGACCTATCCTCTGTGAATCTGTCTGATCCCCTTTTAAAGTCCATCTATGCATGTGGCCATCATTACATCCTTTGGCAGTGAATTCTACATTTGTTGAATTGCATTCTAAACAGCAGACAAGCGCACACAAACCATGCCATGCCTGCTAAATGCAATCAGAGGAAAACACATCTACTTACTTTCCCTCATGTCAAAACAGTTTTCAAAGCAAAGCAAGACAATTATAGCTATCTAGCCCCACAGCCTTCTGAAACTTCAAGGCAGGGTTTCCAACTAATTTCCAAAACTGCTTTTTGTAGTCTACCATCTCTTAATTTAATGACATCATCTGCTTTTGAAAGTCTGTCTATTTGCCAGATCGTATTAATCCATATTTTAATGGGTAGTCTTCCAGTTCTTGGTAGTAATCATTTTGGCAGCTGGCAGGAGTTTGGTCACCATGTTACGACGTTTAGGAATAACCTAGTAATTCCCTTAGAATCCATGATCTTTGTCATAAATTATTTCAGGACGAACAGTAAGCCCTATGACATGGCAGGGTATACACTCTGCTATTGCATATAACTAGAGAGAGTTGCCTGTTAGCATGATTTTTCTGAAAACAAATGATTCTTTGTAGTTACTGCTTCCTTTGAAATTCTCTGAACTGGCACAGTACATGCACTGCTATGTATATTTTACATATACGTTTTAAATATCTGTTGGAAGGTAGTTGCTAGATTATCCACTTCATTATAATCCTGGTTTGATTTCCCTTAGGTTTTAAGAATTGCTGGAAGTTTCTACATAGCTAATGTTCTTTTTAACAATATTTCAAATCTGGGAAGATGCATGACAAGTTTTATTTGCCCTGTTCTGTACCCTAGTGGCCTCATTTGGGGGTGGGCAACAAGACTGGTGCACAGAATTCCAAATGTGATCACATCAAAGTTTAATAGGAGCGATATCAATATACTTAGCAGTTGCATTTTCATTGCTCCCTAATCCCAAACATTAAGTATCTTTTCCATAGTACATTGCGGCGGAGAAGCTAGTGGTAAAATTCAAATACTGTAGGGAAACTGATAAAATGCTGGGGTTTGTTGAAACACTCTGACATTGTCTGTTACATAATTGGTAAAAAGTTGCTCTCCCATTTATACTCACAGCCTTCCTTTTGAAGGTATGTTACAAGTGTAAATTCATCAGATCTTCCTGAAATAGGGGAGGGGGTTGCGTACACCACATTAACTGTTTTTATTAACGCATTAAAGAAGATCAAATTACCTTTAACATGAGCTTAGATTTACTGCACAAACATTCATAATGGATTTGCAACTAATTTTGTTGAGAAAGGTTGGGTGATACCCTCCACTCCTTGCAGCACTTATGAATTCCAATTCTAAGGGGAGAAAAGGTTTTCACGAGAACGTATCCAATATTGTACCACAAATCCCTCACGGGAAATTGCGTGCCGTCAGGGGTCATTTCGTAGAAAAAGAACTGCAGGAGCTCATTAGCATAACTTATTAGCATATGCCACACCCCCTGACTGTTAGCCGAATTGCTCTCAAAGAGAAACAATTGGTACAGTTATTATTATCGGGATACTGCCGTCTATGTTTGCGGAGGATGGTACTGTTTCCGAGGTTCCCAATGAAAGACTGAGGCAGACTTAATAATAATAATAGTTTACTGGCACACTTCACTCAAAAACATACAACAATCACAGCACACAAGAACTAAGAAATTAAGATAGAATAATACAACACAGTTATGGTGGTTGATGCTCTGGGTTATAATTACCTAGCTGCAACTGTGTGGCTCCAAACTTCCAGTGAAGGGGTAAGGATGGGGAGAAAATTGGAAAAGAATGGCGAATGGACTCAGACCAGCTAAGACCACGTGCCAAGAAGTTCTAGCTGCGCAATACTAGAACATAAAGAAGGACGGGTAGGGTATGGGATAGCAAGCTGGACTTAAGAGGTAAAGCAGGTTTTGTAGAGGGCGTCGTTAGAGAGCAATGGGGGGTTCTAGGGTAGAGAGCTCAAGAGCAGGAACGTAAAAGAGTGAACTGTGGGTGCGTTCTTGATTATATCAAAGGGGTCTAGAGGAGGAGCTGGGTCCAGGGGACCTCCCCTATGACACAGTGTTCTGTCATAGCCAAAGGGTCTGTGATTGGCTACTGTATTTCTCTGGGTGGGCCAAGGGACTGGCGGGCAATTTGAGATCTAGTTTCTAACTCAATCAAGACACCTGGGCTAGGGGTATTAGTATGCAGATGATGACTCATGTCCATGTGGCCAGGCTGAATACCAGGTCTTTGTGAGTACGTGCAGCTTCGTTGGTGCGAGGGGGAGGGGGGCCCTGGAAGTAGGTGATCATGCGGCTGGTTTGAAATGGCATCTTGTGCTTTCTTTGACCATGTGCTCTGTTCTATGG